GGGTCTGGAGAGGCGCCCGGTGCCCTGCCGAGACCCTGAGACCTGCGAGGACTTCCAGGCACATCTGGGAACCTCCCCATGGCATCCTCGTACAGTAGGGGCCCGACCACAAGAAACCTTCCACAAGAAAGCCCAACCCTGAGACCCCAGGACGTCCATGGAATGTTTTGGTGTGGGAACGTCACGCCTTCGATAGCAGAACCATCGAAACCCAAGAAACCCAGGGCACCCTGGAGGCAAGCAGGGTGTTTCTTGACATGGGCCCCCACTGTAAGACGAAGCCAGGACGAGGACAAATTCGGGTGAAGATAAATCGAGAATCTCTGAGATCCGGCGGCTCTGGAGGATGTCTCGGGCGCCGCGGCCTTCTTAGCGCGTTCCTGAACGCTCTGAGAGCGTTGCGGAACGCGTTTGAGCGGATTGATCCTCGACATAGCCCCGTCCGATACTGGCATCTTCGTGTCAAGAAGAAAACACGACGGGCGCTTTTTTGGCAATCTCGGCCTCAGAGAGGACTCGCAAGGCCCTGGGACGATCAGGAAACGAACCGAGTCAAAGCTCTGTCACGGGGAAGGGGTCCAGACCTCCAGGGAGCCACGCTGAGAAAAAGATATGGTGCCGGATGCCTATGCCCCAGCAGGCCTCGACCCAGACCCCCGACGCCATGAATACTGTTCACAACGTGCACCCCCAGGACCGGTTCTTCATCCCTGGGCCGATGTTGACGGCCAACGGGGGCCCAAGGCAGTCTAAAAGTGGGCGAGCATTACCAAAGCAGCGCATCCTGAGAGCAGCAATTGATGCAGCCGGGGCAGGGGTGGGAGCTCTGCCATGTGCACACTGGTGCACTCGCAACAACGGACCGTGGCCACCTGGACCACAGATGCAGCCGACAGCCGGGACAGGGGCGAGAGCACAGCAGCGTGCACCGTAGCGTATTTGCGACGAGGGATCGTGGCCGTCCCCATGAGCATCGTTTCACCGATCCCCATCCCCACCAGCGTGGACTAGGCCCCACTGGCCGATTGATCCCCCCATCGGGGATGGACAGGACCCCCTTCAGTAAAACGTGGTTTAGTGAAAACGACCTCGGGCCTAAACCCGGCGGGCGCAAGCCTGGAGAATGACGGCCGCGGCGCCCTCTCGAACCGAGAACGAACAATGCACTAATCGACGTGTCAGGGTGTGGGTTCTGTCCACCGCCGACCCCAGATGGGGATCTAGGCAGCTCCTTCGGGTTCCGAGGGGTACATCCCCAGCTGGGGCAGCGAGATGGTGGGAATCGGGATGGGGGATAGGGGGTGGGGATGGGGGTCGGCGTAGAAGATGCTGAGTCCGACCACACACGTAGCCGGCACCGAGGCGAGAGCACGATTCCTGGGCAAGCGGTGAGGACGCCTCAGGCGAGACCGCCGCCAGACTACTGCCAGGCTGGGCGGTCCTGGGCTCCCCGCCCCACCCCGTGGGACTCTTCTGCTGTCCTGTTGTAACCTCGGCTAGGACACTCTACGTAGCAGAACTCCAGTAGGGAAAGAACAACACGTCGTCAAAATCGCAATCATCAGTCATCACCACCACCACCACCACCACCACCACCACCATCATCATCATCATCATCATCATCATCATCAACATCAACATCATCATCATCATCATCATCATCATCATCATCATCATCATCATCATCATCATCATCATCATCATCATCATCATCATCATCATCATCATCATCATCATCATCATCATCATCATCATCATCATCATCATCATCATCATCATCATCATCATCATCACCATCACCATCCACCATCACCATCACCATCACCATCACCACCATCACCATCCCATCACCATCACCATCACCATCACCACCATCACCATCACCATCACATCATCATCACATCATCATCATCATCATCATCATCGTCATCATCATCATCATCATCATCATCATCACCACCATCATCACCATCACCATCACCATCACCATCACCATCATCATCATCATCATCATCATCATCATCATCATCATCATCATCAGCATCATCATCAGCATCATCATCATCATCATCATCACCATCACCATCATCATCATCACCATCATCATCATCATCATCATCATCATCATCATCATCACCATCACCATCATCATCATCATCATCATCATCATCATCATCATCATCATCAGCATCAGCATCAGCATCAGCATCATCATCATCATCATCATCATCATCATCCTCATCATCATCATCATCATCAGCAGCATCAGCATCAGCATCAGCATCAGCATCATCATCATCATCATCAGCATCATCATCATCATCATCATCATCATCATCATCATCACCACCACCACCACCACCACCACCACCACCACCATCATCATCATCATCATCATCATCATCATCATCATCATCATCATCATTATCATCCGAGAAACCGATAGGAGCCTCCGAGAACCAAGACCTGCGATGACATCCTCCTTCTGCTCCTCCCCCCC